AGTTTTCATGGCCCATGACCCATGAAGACACGCAGTTCCCGTACACTCAAGAGCCCACGAAGGCACGCGGTTTACTCGCGCAACTCTTGATTTTTTTTTAAAAAAAATAAAATATACTTTTTGCCTTATTATTAAATAATTTGTTATTTATAATTTAGTTTTTATAATTTTAATTATCTCATATATAAAAAATAATAAATAATATATATATATATATAATATAATAAAATAAAATTTAGATGTACGTTTAATTCCACAATTATTAATTGATATTACAGTCGTAAATTTTAATTAACAAAATTTACCAAAATAATCATCTTTAATTTTAGATTTTAACTTAAATTAAAATATTATAAAATAATATAATTTATTAATGTATTGATATAATTACAGTAATTAAATTAAATTTTATTTTAAAATATTATATAATTATTAGATTATATTATACATTAATTTTATTATTCTATGCTGCAATAATTATTATTATTATTTTGCCCCTTCCACAATATCTTTTTCTTTTTATTGAGAGCCACGGTTCATTTATATATATATATATATATGTATATGTATATATATATATATATATGAATTATGATGTTGGCTCTCTCACGTCATAATTGATTCAATAATTAACGTTACTGTAATGGGTTAGTTCCAGTTAGTCCATGTGGTATGATAACACACACACACACACATATATATATATATATATATATCCTACAATTAGGGTTAAGTAAATATTATCTCAATACATATATTATATATATATATAGTAGACTTTAGAGTAATTTTTTAATATTTTAATTATATTTCAGTTTCATTATTAATTAATTAATTGTAAAACACTAATCAATTAGTCATTAAATTATTAAAAAACCCATAAAAAATGAATATAAAAATTAATCACTATCATATTTTCTATCACAAATATGAACACACTTTTTATTTTTTGGGGGAGACACGCATTTCATAGTCAAACACAAGTGGGACCCATCCTTTATATATATATGTATATATTTATAGAATATCTTATAAATTGTATTGTCATTATATATTATTAAGTTTAAGTTAATGCAGAAAATGATAATTAAGTAAAATATAATTATTTTTTTAAAATGAATTAATTATTATAAAATATTTATTTTTATTTAAAAATTATAATAAATTTTAATTTAATTTAATTATCGTATTTTTATAAATATTTATTAAACTTTATAAATTAATGAACTCATGATATTAATTAAAACTTTTATTAAAAAAGCCATCATTAATATTGTGAACTCAAAGAATGTTGGTATCTATATCGTAGGTTGTGGGGTCCCCTCTCCGCTCAAGGTTTTGATCTTGGCCGTTGATCTCCATTGCCAATTTTCACGACCAATGACCATGACTTGTTGTCTGCGCACGAAACGAAACGCTACAATTACCAAAATACCCCCATCGTCTCTTTGTGAAAAGGCAATAGCGCAGCATTTTCAAGACGGTCAATAATGGCCGACTCAAGGCTAATTTCGTTTAATCAAACTTAATAAATTAAAAAAAATGTAATCAAACAAACGCAAGGCAAGCTAGAGACGGCCATGGTTACATCGAAGCGCATCATCATCATCATCATCATCTATTTCGCAAGAAATGAAGGCCGGTTTCTGAACTAAAAAAAATAGTTTCTTGCCCGAGAATATTTCCTATAACCTGTTATTTTCTTTTCATGTCCGGTCCTCCGTCTTTTTCTCTCATTGTTTCTTATTGAATAGCAGCTTTCGAGGCTGTCTCTTGTCGCTGTTATCTGTTTCAGGAGTAGGAGGGTATGGCTATTTCAAGTTTGAATGGATAATTGATCTTCTTCGTTTTCCTAGTTTGGATTGTGAAGTACTGGCTATTTGGTTTTCTGGGTTTGCTTCGTTTCTTTACTTGGTGAATTGGGTGTTGAAGGATTAGTGGAGATTTGAGGCTTTAGGGGGTTTGAGTATCTCGTGTATTCAACTGGGTCTTGATTTTTCAGAAGTGGGTGTCAAGGAATTCGTGAACTTTCTCACTTGATGGTATGAATTAGAAGTCATGAATGGAGTATCAGCTCAGTTTCCATCAGAGGTTCAAGCATGTTGTCAGTTTCTGAATTGGGTTTTTAAGGCTTTGGTCTGATTTCGAACTGAACTTACGAGAGATGGATTTGCTTGATTGAAAGTCGAGAAAATTCTCAAGGTTTGGATGGGTTTCTTTTCTTAATTGTTGGCCTGGGGAAGAACTCAATTTCAGTGTTGACGGTTCTTTATAATTTAAACTAATTGAATGTGAAGACTACTGGGTTGAATATCACAAGTTCTGCAATTTCCACTTAGTGTTTTCACATCTTCTGCTTCTCAGCTTTGGTTCGTGGCAGCTTCCATAGATTAGGATTCTTTCATTTATTAGCTTGTTTCTCCAAGATGGAAATCAAGCAGTTTAGTATGTTGAAAATGGCTAGTGCTGCGTTTAGTCTACTGCTATTAATGCATTTAGAGATAATATTTGCATCCGGGTTTGTGATACAATCGAATTACTGTGGTTCTGTCTACTTAGCCTACTCGATTAATTCGTATCGAGATGAATCGTTTTACATAAATGGGAACCTAGTTGACAAAGTTTTGTTCTGTAAAGCCGTTCAGTTCCACTCTGCAAATGGATGCATCCTCAAACACTTTGCCTGGAATGATTATTGTGCATTAATACACCATTCACCAGGTATACATTAATATGAGATTATCATTTGATGGTGTGTGATTAAGGCTATCTTTGGAAGCAATCAAGAAGTTTTGTGGAATTCATTTCAAAATTCATATTTTGTTCAAGTTCTATCTTTATGGATTTTCAAATGAAACTCCGTGAAAGTTCTTAATTTGTTCCACACATAGCTTAAAATAAATTGCCTTGAACCCAAATTTAGTAACATTGATGGTAATCTTTCAAAGGAACTGATCATTTTCTACTGTGTGTGCAGATGACTTCCGGCTCAAAGCAGGAAGAAAGATTTTGCAGCATGAGGATAAGGATGGTAAGGAAATTCATCCAGGAGAGATGAGGAATGTTCACAAACCAATGTCAACCCTGAAAAAGGTTAGCTTTGCAGCGGCTGGTGTTTTTTCCTTATGCTGTGCTTTTCTCTGTCCTTGCTTCTATAAGCGAAGAAAACCACCTCCACATACAGCTCTCGCAAAGGATCAAAATTCAAGTGAGTTAACGTTTGTTTTTACCTTAAAAATCAAATTTATTCTTGTTGTATTTGAGGTATAATGACAAATGAATGTTCTTGCAGTGGATTCAACTTCTCCGTTTGAAATAAACACTGCATCTGATAAGATTCCAGCCAGTCCACTTAGGGTACCGCCTAGTCCTAAATTCTCATTGTCTCCGAAACTCAGTGTAATCGGACCAATTCATCTCAGTATGGTTCAGGTTGCTAGAGCAACCCACAATTTCTCACCATCCCTACAAATTGGTGAAGGTGGCTTTGGGACTGTTTACAAGGCGCAGCTGGAAGATGGCCATGTGGTTGCCATAAAACGAGCCAAGAAGGTAAATGGTCATGAGATAACGTAGATGCTCCTTCCAAACCATTTCATGCATATATAGGAGTCTTGGAATTTATGCCATAAAATGAAATTTGGAACAGACCCAAGCAAAACTAGAATAAACAAAATGAAGATAAGGAAGCAATAGCGGGTTTGTTCTTTAGAAAGAACAAAGCTATAGAACGGTTTCTTCTTGGCTAAAGTGGGATGGGCAAATGTCTACTTGGTAAATTTCTCTGACAGGACATTTGTTGATCCTGATATTCCATATTAGTTTGTTTTACAGCTGCCATTATTCATAATAATAATATAAGTAGATTAAATTCTACTAAAAGAAGTAAATTGATGAATATCCTAAATTATTCTTTTATAGAATTGTGTGTATCAAAGAAGTCATCTTATTTATTTCCTGTAGTATTTTCATGTAAATCAATAAAATAGGAACAGTTTGAGAGCTTGCGAACTGAATTCAGCAGTGAAGTTGAACTTTTAGCCAAAATTGATCATCGGTGTTTGGTGAGGCTACTTGGTTATGTTGACACAGGACATGAACGCCTTATCATAACAGAGTATGTTCCAAATGGCACTCTTAGGGAGCATTTGGATGGTAAGGTTGCTTAATTTAAGATCTCTTCTTGTAAAAATGAATATTAATATTTCTAGTAGGTTAATCTAAGCAGTAACATGGATGATAATTGTTTCATGGGTAATCTTGGCAGGTCGACGTGGTAAAATCTTGGATTTTAACCAGAGGCTTGAAATTGCGATTGATGTGGCTCATGG